CACGCCTTGCAGCACAACCTCTTGGCTGTGGCCTCCCAGTTCCCCATGAATGTCAAGATCTCCAGCCGAGGTAACAAGGTGCAACACCTCAATTTGGGTCAACTCCATCCCCTGGCTCCCCAGGAGGGAGTAGTAGTGGCTGGAGAGGAGCATGGATGCCCAGAGAAGCTGGAGCCCCACTTCTCTCTCTTGAGCAGGTTCTTGTTTCTGTTTCTCTTAATGCTCATATTGGTATTTCCTTTCCCCAGATGACAGACAGGAGACTGCATTGAACCTGTCCACCAACGGCATTAGCAGTATCAACATGTCAATAGAAATAAATGGAGTTGTCTACACAGGTAAATAGAAGGGCCCGTGTAATTGCGGCTGGGAAATCCAATAACTTATAGCCACTGCCTGGCCAGCAAGTCCTTCCTTCAATCTGATGTCTTTACTATAAAATCCATTGTAATGAAGTGGCAGGGCCTGGGGAGAGCGGGCAGGGGAAGGAGGGGGTCAGTGAGGATGGAAATTGGCGCCCAGTAGGGGTAGGCAGTAAAGGAACAAAGTGGGGATGGATGGATGGATGGATGGATGGATGGATGGATGGATGGATGGATGGATGGACTTTCAGATGGCTGGACGATGGATGGGGCTGAGAGTGCAAAAAAATACCTGGGATCATCTCCCACCACAGGGTCCTGTAGGCAGGGCTTGGATTTCAGGTTACACTGATGCTGGTGTGCCCAGAGGGTATCTGGCTGGTTGCAGAGAATGGTGTTGGATGCAGCAGAAGATGTTGGGGTGCTTGGCTGGAGCAGAGGCTTCTTCAGGGTGCCCATGTGCACCTACCCAGCCAAGCAGTTAATCCTGTGCCCCCAGCTCCTTGCTTGCCCTACTGAGGCAACCCCAATTAAAATCAATGGCTTTTCCTTCAGGACTTAAATATGTAACGAGCAGGAAAGGTCAGAGCTAATCAACACACAAGGCTGCCAGCCAAATGGTCCTGGGCTACCCCATTGGCTTCCCCACACCGGCCCCTATCTGGGCCAGGGATGGGGGCACCAAAGGTGATGGGGAGGCAGGAGCCCCCAGGGGTGCTGCTCCCACCCTTCCCAGCCTGGGTGTTGGGGGCAAGGCAAGCAGTGCCCCCTGCCCTGGGCTTGCCCTAACCCCCTTGCTCTTTCTCCCCAGGCATCCTCTTCGCCCGCCGGACCCCGGCGCCCCCAGCACCTGGCGGAGGGAGTACCCAGAGCCAGCCGCCTGCCCCAACCCCACTGCTCCCAGCCCCTTTGCACGGCCACACTCCCACCAGCACCTCACCATAAGGGAAGATGCCTCCCCTCTCCCCCTTAAACAGCTGGGGGTCCCCAGGGTCTGGGGCACTGAGCTGTGGGACCCTGCTGGGCCACCAAGGTGGGATGGGGGATGCAGAGGTGCCTCTTGCTGCAATACTTAGCTGTATCCATGGAAGGCTGTAAGCACCCACTTGGGCCCTTTTGTCCCTTATCCCAGCTCATGAGACCCTTTCCCTGTGTGTGCCCTCTGACACAGCATCTTCCTTCCCAGGTGCTGCCCCCAGTGACCCCCTCCTCCTTACAGCTCCTGCCTGCCCTGCTGCCTGAGGCTCCCCTGTGCCCTGCATGCCACATCCCCTACACTCTGCAGCCCCTCTACCCACCTCAATGCACGCGCTGCAGCCCCTGCACACACCTCAATGCCCAGCACTGCATCCTCCACCTTGCCACGCTCAATGCAGATGCTGCAGCTCGAGTACTGTCTCCCCCACACACGTCTCTATGCACAGTGAGTTCTTTATAAACACTCTCCATCCATACAGTGCATCCCCTACATGATGCATCCCCGTTATAAACACCCCCAGTGCACACACTGCATCCCCTTTACACACTCTTGGTGCCCTCCTTACATCACCTGTGCACACCCTCAGTGCAAACCCTGCAGCCCCTATGCACTGCAGCCCCTATATACTGCACCCCTACCCCCTGCAGACCACCTGCTTGCGCTCTCTGGGCTTGCTGCTCCTGCCCTGAGTTACCCCCAGAGTCCTGGGTGTCCCCCTGGCCAGCCCAGGGGTGATGTCATCTCTGCCTCCCAGGTCCTAAACTCAGGGGGGTCACCCCAGGGGGCAGATAATGGGGATACTGGTGGCACTGGTGGGGGTGGGGCTGGTTGGTGTGGGGCTTAATATT